TTGTCCACGTCATCGGTACTCACAGATTGAAAATGATCCAGTAAAGTGTTGCTTGTGTTGGAGATGTTTCTCCTTGTTTTTGTTTCTTCCCTGTGCTAGATATGTATCAAATCTAGAATTCCTTGGCTTCTAATTTTGAAGTGAGCTTTAGAGTCCATATATCTCCTCACCTTCTCTTACAGTCTGGCATCCTGTTATGCAGTTAGTGTCATAAACTGGGCTTTTAAACTTCTAACTGTTTGGGAGTTACATTTATGATCATGATGCCATGGTTTGTTGGCAGGAGGGACTGGATACATCATCCTTCAGTATCCCTGCTTTGCCAGCACTACCAAACTCTGTCCTTGGTATGGCTTCCAGGATTTTAAGGTGGGCTTAGGGGTTTGGGTCAAGAGATGGGATGTAGTCATGACATTATAGCCACATACTAAATGCAGGATCTCACCATTGGGATATGCCAGTTTTGACTTTAGTAGCAATACTGGGGGAGAGGATATTTAAATGACTGCTCCCCTGCTGTGTTATCCCCCCACCATCTTACAGATTTTCTTTATTATGGTGCTGCTGCCTGATCGAACGTGGGAGCTCACCACATCTGCTTTAAAACAACAACAACTAAGAGATACAGATCCATAGTTTTTGTGTCTTGTTTGTTTGGACCCTCAACTGTGATCACTTCAGGTCTCTTTTTGTTTACTTCTTTTTTAACGCATGCATCTTGTGGCCACAGTTTTGAGTGGTGTGGATCCATGATGCCTGAAAGGTAGAGAACTGCATTATCCCAAACCAGATCAGGGTATTTGTCCGTCTAGGCCAGTATTGTCTTTATTTGTCTTTACTGACAGGTAGCAGCACTCCAAGTTCATCCTGGCCACCGGGCAACCTGAACTTTCTTTTTTTGGCAATGCCAGGGATCAAACCTGGGACTTCCTGCATGCCAAGCTGGTGTTCTCCCATTAAGCTATGATGCTCCTGCTTCCAGGTTGTAGTTAAAGGAGTACTTGAAGGGAATTTTGAGCATTGTCTTCTCTCCAAGGATTGCTCAATCTTCAGCAATCTTTTCCAGCTCCCTTGGTCTTTGTTTTACCTGCCCATGCATGACACCATATGATGCATTTAATGTGGACTCTGTAGCAAGGAGGAACATAGCAGGGAAGATAACAACCCTTTGAGATTTAGTAAGAAATTATGGCTTTGATGGAGAAAAGAGTATCTGTGAATGGTTTGTTCCTACAATGGGGTGGGAGTCTCGAAGAGCATCTGTCAGTATAACTTGAAAGATGGCTGGCAGTTTCCTTTGCGAATAACAATGATAACAGAAGAAGGAGTCAGTGGCATGTTTGGGACGAATTGCAATGATAAAAGGTTTCACAGTCTGAGGTGGAAACAGTGTTCAATGTCTCAGTATGCAACGCTTATGACCTGGTAGTTTGTAAGTTCAGAAAATACCTTGTCAGAAGGCCTTATCAACTACTGTTCTACCAATTTTTTAGGTTAGATAAGTGGTGAAGTATGATAAATCCTTGATAATATTATGCTGATTACAGCAGTGAACTGAGAAGTGTTTTTACTTCCTTAGAGCTTAGTCATTTTCTTAAGGGACAGCCTGGCTGGATCTCTTTTTCTCCAGGTGAATACTTTTCACCCTATTCAGGTATGTTTGTGTTGTCAATTTGAAATATATTCCTACAAACCCTTTCAGATACCCTGTTCTCTTCCTTGTGTGTATTTGTGTGTCGATCCTAATGTACGTTGTTTGTTGCTCAACTCATGGTGACCCTATGAATGAGACACATCCAAGACACCCTATCCCCAACACCTCTGCTCAGGTCCTCCAGTCTCAGAGCCATGTCCTTCTTGATTAAGTCTGTTAATCTGATATGTGGTCTTCCTCTCTTCCTACTGCCTTCTACCTTTCCAACCATTATTGTCTTTTCTCGTGAGTCATGCCTTTTCATGATGTGGTCAAATACAACAGTCTTAATTTAGGGGGGTTGCAGACTGCCAGAAATAGTGCAAATTGAGTCCACTTTTAGGGTTAGGGTTAGTGCTAGGGAATCATGGGAATTGGTTTTTTTCTGAGATATTGAGCCTTCTCTGTCAGAGAGCTCTGGTGCCACAATAAAATACAGTTCCCTTGATTCCCTAACCCTAACCCTAAAAGTGGACTCAATTTGCACTATTTCTGGCAGTCTGCAACCCCCCTTAGTCATCTTCCAGGGAAAGTTCACTACCAAATCTTAAATGAGTTGATTTTCTCTCTGTCAGCTTTCTTCCTTCCCATACATAGAAATGGGAAATACAATAGCATAGACAATCCTAACTTTAGTATTAATTGATATATGTTTACATGTCAGGATCTTGTCTAGTTCCTCCATACCTGCCCTTCCAAGTCCTAGTCTTCTTATTCACTGACTGCAGACTCCATTCTGATTAATGACTGAGCCAAGCTATGGAAAATTTTGAACTATTTCAGTATCTTTATAGTCTACTTTAAGGTGATGTAAAATCATTCATGGCCATTTTTGTTTTCTTAATGCTCAACTGTAAACTTGTCTTTGTACTTTCTTCCTTTACTTTTTTCAGTAATCATTCCAAAGCTTTGCAGTTTTCTACTAGTAGTATGGTGACATCGACATATCTCAAATTGTTGCTGTTTCTTCCTCCAATTTTCACACCTCCTTCCTCCCAGTCTAATCCTCCTTTAACTGGGATATGTTCAGCGTACAATTTAAACAGATAGGGTATTAAATGTAGCCTTGTCTGATCCCTTGCAAGTTGGAAACCATTCTGTTTCTCCGTGTTCTATCTTTACAGTGCCTTCTTGTCCTGAGTACTGGTTACGAATAATCAAATGTTGTGGCACATCCATTTTTTTTAAAGAGCAATCCATAGTTTTTCATGATCTACACAATCAAAGTCTTTACTGTAATCTATAAAGCACAGGCTGATATCTTGTTGAAATTCTTTGGTGTGTTCCATCATCTAACATATGTTTGCAATTTGGTCCCTAGTGCCTCTTCCTTTCCTGAACTCAGCTTGGATGTCTGGCTTTTCTTGTTCTTTATATATGGTAAAAGTCATTGTTGTAGAATTTTGAGCATCATTTTACTTAAATGGGAAAATAATGCAGTGGTCCTGTGGTTACTGTAACCCCTGGTGTCCCTTTTCTTGTAACTGGAAAGTATATGGAGCATTTCCAATCCTTGGAGTATTCTTTTATTTTCCATATTTGTTGACAGATTTTAGAACTAGAGTAAATTCTGTCTCTGTAGCTTGAAGCAGCCATATTGGTGTGCCATCTGTTCCTGGTGATTTCTTTCTCCCAAGTGCTTTGAGAGCAGCTTCCATTTCACTTTCTAACATTGTAGATTCATTTTCAAATGATTCTTCCTTGAATGAGTCTGTCATTCAGCTCTTTTTATAGTCCTTCTGTGTATTGTTTCCATTACTTTTTTATTTTTACTTGGTCATGTAATGTGCTCCCGTACAGATCATTGAGCATCCCCATTTTTGGTTTAAATTTGAAGTCTCTTCTTCCCTTTTTGTTGTCATCTATTTCTCTACATGGTTGTTACAGTAGATCTCCTTGTCCCTGCACACAAGTCATTGAACAGTTGCATTCAGGGTTCTTACCCGATTTCTGTCACCTTTTCCTTTTGCTTTTCATCTGTCCTTAACTGCTTCAAGGGTTTCATCTGTCATCCATTGAGCTTTCTTTTTGGCTGCAGATAGTGTCTTTTTGCATTTCCTCCCTGACAGTGTCCCTGGCTGCAGTCCAGAGGTGGATATCAGGGAAATGAATGTTATGATAATAGCAATACTTTTATTGTTCTCAGGGGGGATTGTTTGCACTTAACATAGGTCACTTGGATGATCAACCAGTCAGAAAGTCTCCAAGGCATATGTCCATAGGTTCTAAGTCAGGAACGCTTGATTGCATATGAAACACTTACAAGGAAGGGCTCTGCAAGTGCTTTGGTTAGGGCTCTTTTTCCATCTGTCTCTCTGTGTAGAGGCAACAGCATGAGGAAACTGTTGCTCAAAGCTTTAATCCACTCTGCACATCCTTGCAGCAGCAGAATACATGCTGCTGAGCACAAAGATCCTCACACATACACAAACTAGATTTTTGGGACATGTTGCTTGTGAGAGTAGATGCAGAGGAACAGCACTGGATGTTGAAGTGAATTTAAGTAACACTGTTCTTGAACTGCTGCAGTAGTTTTAATCATTTTTCTAGGTTTGCTTTAGAACAACACAGGGTTGTTTTTTTGTGTGTGGGTGTCCATTCAACAAGGGAATTTTTGTTTCAAAAAGTAAATAAAATATTTTTAAAAATTGCTTCCAATCACTTAATGGTAAGAAAATAGTCAAGGAAGCTGAAATCCAGTTTTGGTTGCTGACTCCATGGAAATGAAGCTCAGCAGGACATAAAAGTCAGTGACAGGTTTCACTATCTCTCTGCTGGTCCTTGGACCTAGAAACAGAGAGAGGGAATAAGACTGACTTATTTGGAATAACCAGGAGCAGGAATAACAGTCCATTGTTTAACACAAAGCATTTTTTGGCATTTTGCATTGAGGAGAAATGGAAGGAGCAGCAGAACTCTTCAAAGTGAATTTAAAATAATGTGATTGAAAGAGGTTTTGACTATCCATTGCCGATAGCTAGCAAAACACCCATTTCATGACCATGGGGTGTGTGTGGAGTAGGGATAGAGAGAATATTTGCCATTTTAAGTGTTACAATAGATCTCCTTGTCCCTGCACAGAAGTCATTGAACAGTTGAGTTCAGGGTTCTGACCCAGTTTCTATTACTAAGCTTAGAAGAGTGACAGTTTGCTCCTCTATCACAACTCAGACTGCACTATTGAGATTGATTCTGAAGCCAACCTCACTAAGGGCCTATGCACTATAGGCCGGCCTGGGGGTGGAGTTGGGGCAGGGCAACCACACTCCGGCCACCCTGATTCCGCCCTAATGCCACCCTGACATCACACATCCATCCACATGGCGCACAGCATCAAGACGCCCTCCTGGTGCAGTGTGCATACACGCTGCGCCAAAAGGGCACAGAAGAGCCATGATGGTGGCTCAAAGGGCAGCCTTTTGCTGCCCCAAAAAGGAGCAGCATTTTGCTGCTCTTTTTGGGGTGGTAAAAAGGAGGATTGGGGCTGCGGTGTGTGGTTGCCATGGCCCCGATCCGCTGCTCCCAAGGGCAGCCAGGAACCGCCCCAAACGGGTCATCTGCATCAGCCCTAAATCAAAGTTGTACTCTATGACTCACAGGGAAATGGTAGCTCTAAGAAAATTTGTTGACAAAAACTTGGGATGGGGATTTAGCCATCCAACAACTTCCTCATTGGGGGCCCAGGTGTTCTTTTGGGAAAACAAAGGCAGAGGTTTGCACTGACTTTAGAGGACTGGATGCTATCTTGTCATCAAACCAGCACCCTATCCTTCTAATGAAAGATCTCTTGGCCCAGTTGGACACTAGAAGCTGGATTTAAGAGACATTTACTTCTGAGTAAGAAAATGAAATGTAGATGGATACAAAACCACCTTTAACTACTGTTTGGGGCTTTTGAATACTTGGTGATGCCTTTCAAACTGATGGGCCCTCCTGGAATGTTTATGTACCTGATAAATGAAGTTCTCCATAATTATTTGTAAAAGGCTTTTTTGTTGTTGTTTGTTTGTTTAGATAATGTGTTGTACATGGGCACTCATGTCAAACTGGTGAGAAAGGTATTCAAAAGGTTACTGGACAATCAACTGTTCATCAAACTGTTCATCAAACTATGTGAGTTCCATAAACAAAAACTAGATTACCTAGACCTATCTATATTACCTATTGTGGCTGCCTCCTTCTCTG